AAGCACTCTACCACTGAGCCACCTTCCCAGCCCATATGAAGGAGTTTCTATAAGAGGACAGAAAGCTTTTCCTGGGCCAGGCAGGAGCTGGCTAAGCCAGGAGAGGAAGGCAGAGTACCTGTACAGGTATCTGTAATGCCCAATGTGAGCTTCACAGTGCTGCTAGGCCCTGAAAGTGACCTAGAAAAAGAGAGGTTGACAGCACAGCTGTGGTTGGATTTCTTCCCATCTAACTTTTCCCATTTGTCTTTCCCAGCAGAGAAGAAGGAATCCCCAGGAAGGCTTGTATAATGTGAGTGCGTGGGACAATTCACATTTTACTATGGAGCTTTAGAGGAAGGGCCGGGTGGAGTTTTCTCTACACTTCAGTTTTTCTGTCCAAACTTTCCCTTCTCTAAGTCATGAGAGCCAGCAACATAGTCACTTTAGAAAGGCTTCTTGGCAGATCTGTGTTGCCTTATCTCTCCTTTCCTGGCCTCCTGTACTTTATCAGCCCCAAGCCTGCTTTTGGAGTTCTGCAGGTCCACCGGCCTGAAGAAAGGGTGTTAGTGGCAGGCCAGGCTGGGCAGGAGTGCAGGGCAGGCTCCTGTGAGGGGGTTGGGGCCTAGTGCTTCCTCACACTGTGGCAGGAACTTGATCGTGGCTTCAGGCCACCTAAAGGCTGCTTGCAGGTAGTCACCTGCTGCAAAGGAAGCTGCCTCCCTTTCCTCCTGAATTTGATGATCCAGCAGCCAGGTGGAGGTGACTGTAGAGACAAGGCAAAATAAATGATGTTAAACAGATACACAGATAATGCTGGAGCTCCAGGTGAGGACTTGTGTTGTCCAGTATCCTGCCTCCATCTATACCTCTACATCTTATCCGAGAAAGAAACTTGAGCTTAGCTCAATGCAAAGAACTGGTAGAGAAGTCTGAAGGTGGAGGATAAGGAGCAGGTGGCGGGGAGCTGGTAAGGGAAGAGATACTTTGTTTGGATGTCTAAATGACTGGGGGAACCCTTGCCAACTTGGGAATCAAGAAGCTTCTTCACGTGGGTGTGATCATTAGGACAATGAATGTCTCATCACTTCTTCTTCAGGCATTGCAGAAAGATAAGATGGCAGAGTCCTACAGTGAGATTGGGATGAAAGGCGAGGTGAGTTTTGCTCTTTCTTGATTCTCAAGGAAGTTGCTAATGGTCTCCAGACACACCTGCCACAGACCTCTTCGATCATCTGTTTCTCCCCCAACTTACAAAAGTTCACATGGCATCTGCTAGGGAACAAGAAGCATCTGGCTCTCCCTCACCGGGTTGGACTGTATGTGAGATGTTAGTAAAGAGTTGGGGCTCTGTCAGGACTCAGAAGTGAATTAGATTCTGTGACAGCCTAAATTTTGTGGAGGGATCTAGTCCACCACTGCTAACAGTAGGTTGGGAGTGATTAGCATGTACCAGGCTATGTTCACCGCTCAGGACTGTGGGTCCCAGATCAGGATGAAGTATTGAGCCCTGTGACTGTGCTGGTTGTGTGTCCATGAGCTTGTGTGGGTTGCACCTTACACAAGGTGTGGTCAGCACCTTATACAAATGTGTTCATTTAGTTCCCAGAAAAACCTGACAAATGTGTGTCCTGCAAGGCACTACGAGGTTGAACAACTTATCCTGGTCATACATTGAGCAAGCAGGGGAGCAGGATTTGAATTGGCTCTGCACTTTTGCCAATAAATGCCTTGCCTTGGAATGAGCTTCTCATTCCCAGCAAACCTCATGATGGGACCGATTCAAGAGCTGCAGGGAGGCTCAACTATTCCAGGCAGGTGGCAACATGGCCAGCTCCAATGTCTGAGTGGGGCAGATTCTCTATTAGATCTCACCTTACTCTGCAGGTGTGAATTCTACCCAGGAGCCTCAGGACCTTTCTGCCCCAGTGTGTGTGTGTGTGTGTGTGTGTGTGTGTGTGTGTGTGTGTGTGTGTGTGTATGTGTGTGTGTGTGTGTGTGTGTGTGTGTGTGTGTGCTGGCTGGGAAAGCGACCTTTGACATTCTAGGAAGCCCTGAGTCCTTGAGCACGAATGCCACTATTGCCTGCCTTACTGTCTGATCCTCCTTTCATTTCATCTCACAGCGGCGGAGAGGCAAGGGACAAGATGGCCTATATCAGGTAAGAACTTTGGCCTTTTTCCTGGGTGGCACTGTCTAACAAAGGATAAAGACTGAGGCTCCCATGTTTGACTTCCTGGTAATAGCAGCTCTTGCTAACAGCCAGTCAGAGCCAATCTAGGCTCAGCTCATCTAGACTAGTAGCAATTTTACTGTCAATATTGAAGCTAGTGTTTTAGGCCCCAGGTCTAAATTCCTGGGATTCCACATTTGGCTTTTTTTTTTTTTTTTTTGGTTGGTCATGGGGCTTGAACTCTGGGCCTGGGTGCTGTCCCTGATCTCTTCAGCTCAAGGCACTTGAGCCACAGTGCCACTTTCAGTTTTCTGGTAGATAATTGGAGATAAGACTTTCCTGCCCGGGCTGGCTTTGAACCACGATCCTCAGCAATCAGCCTCCCGAGTAGCTAGGATTACAGGCATGAGCCACCGGTGCCCGGCTGGCTACTTACTCTTGTATACTACACAAAGAGGCATGGTGGCCCAGTGTTGATGGCTCAGGCCTGTTCCTAACTCAGGAGGCTGAGATCTGAGGATCACAGTTCCAAGCAACAGGGCAGAAAAGTCCATGAGATTCTTATCTCCAATTAACCAGCAAAAAGCTAGAAGTGGAGCTGTGGCTCAAGTGGTAGAGTACTAGCCTTGAGCACAACAGCTCTGAAACAGTGCCAAGGCCCCAAGTTCAAGCCTCAGGACAAGCACCAAAAAGGAGAGGAATAGTGTAGGGCAGAGAAAATTTACTGCATGGCATGGACAGTCACAGGAAGTTAGTTCTTCAGCCATGTTTGGTTTAGAGCCATGAGCTTCAATAGTTGTAGATACACAAGGGGTAGTGGGGGAGAGGTATGCATAATTATTAAGCCATCTTCATCAAAGAATTGCCTTGTTGATCATTATCTCAGTCCTTGTTTGGGGAAGAGCTCTGGAGAAGTTGTTAAGGTGCTTTTTCCTGAGGAGGTGCTACTATTGTGCCTTTGGGTTAGTTTCTGTCCCTGTTCTAAGGATGCTATCCACTAGTCCTGTCCTGCAAGGATTCCAAAGTGATTGCAGAGTGACTACAGAAAGGCTTAGAGCAAAAACATATAAGATGGAGGCACAAAGACTAAGTTTTTCTTCTGCTTTTACTTAATTCATTGGCCTAAGTAAGGAGTCAGTACTTTTCAGGAAAAATGATTTTGTCTTTTTTGTGTGTCTGTGTGCTCATCCTAGGGTTTGAACTCAGGGTCTGGGCACTGTCCTTGAATGTTTTTGCTCAAGGCTAGTACTTATCACTTGAGCCAAAGTCTCACTTCAGGCTTTTTTGCTAGTTAACTGAAAATGAAAAAGTCTCATGAACTTTCTTGCTCAGGCTGGCTTCTAACTGTGCTCCTCAGATCTCAAGCTCTTGAATTGTTAGGATTGCAGACATAAGCCACCAGTGCCTGGCTCAAAGTACTTTTTTAAATTTTTGTTGTTGTTGTCATGGGGCCTGAATTCTGGGCCTGGGCACTGTCCCTCAACTCTTCAGCTTAAGGCTAGTGCTCTACCATTTAAGCTACAGCACCACTTCCAGCTTTTTCTGCTTATGTGGTGCTGAGGAATGGAACCCAGGGCCTCATACATACAAGGTAAGTGCTCTACCACCGAGCCACATTAAATGTTACAGTACATTTCTAGAACAGGGAAGGGACTATCCATTCAGGCAGATACTATGCTCCAACCAGGAGTGAGAGTCCCATGCATTATTTGGCCACAGCAGACATAGCCATAGTTCTCCAGAGGGTATGGCCTTCTCAAAGATGTAGAAACAGTGTGCAAAGGACCCTATACAAGTGATTTCCTGCCTTTGTCCATTGAGCTAAGCTCTGACAAGTCTTGCTCTGCTTTGAATCCTCTAGACTTAATAAGATCTGGAAGGGTGGGCAAGAAGATTGAAGACAAAGAAGAAAAATAACAGCTTCAAAAGAAAAATGTTATTGTAATCAGGCGCTTGCTATGCAAATTAGTGCAAATGATTATGGAAACTAAGTGTAGTTAACCTAGTTCTCTCAAATAGGATCCCCAGAGGGTTCATATCTCCTCCTGGCCCTACTGGTGCTGGGCTTGTCTGAATAGTTATATCAAAAAAGCCTCAGAAACTTGCCTGGTGGTGGCTGCTGGTGGCTGAGCAGGGAGAGATCTTCCAGTGAGGCCTAGGCCTGGCCTGATTGACAAAGGATGCACTACAGAGGCCAGGTCCAGGAAGGACCCCTGTGGAGAAGGGCTGAGGTGAAGGAGCTACCATGCTCCCTGGGACAAGTCCAGGATTTCTGGGGTCCCAGATTATGAGGGAGAGTAGGTTCTCTGGGGCAGGCCTGCCTGGCCATTTTCCCTGACTCCATTTCAGCACTGGAGGTGGAGGACTGTCCTTTTTGGAGCTGACAGGAAGCTGGGCCCAGGCACTTGGGAAGTTAGAAGGGTGAGAATTTAGTTGAAGAATTGCCTCAAGGCCATTTGCAGGAGGATACAAGACTCATCTTTCCAGCAGTGTTCTCAGCCAAGGCTCTCCATCCATGATGAGGAAGTTTTCCTGGGCATCTGGAGACTGGGAAAGGGAGGGTCATGGGATGGGCTGCAGATACTCAGCTTGTACCTGACCATGCTTCTGTGATTTGCTTCTACCAGGGGCTCAGCACTGCCACCAAGGACACCTATGATGCTCTCCACATGCAGACCTTGCCCCCTCGCTAACAGCCAAGGGACTTCATACTGAGAGCCTGACCTGCTGACAACTAGATTGTGAAGAACACAGGACAAAGTATTTACAACACAGTTCATTCCTTTTTATGGACAGGATGCTTCAAATGGTCACATTTGGCCTCTAATTCAAAACTTCCATATACAGAATGTTATCCCTCCTGGACTCTTTAAAAGAGAGTTGTCCCGCTTTCACCCCAGAATGAATGGCCCTGTTCTTAGGCCTGTGGTTCACTCGTAACTAGGCAGGCCCATCTCCCTGCAATTCTGTAAAGGGAACCCCCAAATGTTAGCATAAATCCCTGCCTGAATTGTTGTTTTTATTTGAATGGCTTTGCTCTGGCTGTATATTTGGCTTTTTAATGTCAACCTTCCCATGTCTAGGTAGCTTGTAATTGGGCCATGTGTAAAGGGACTGGGCAGAGGGACAGTGGGAGTGAGCCTGGATGAGTTTCACCTGACAGAGGGGCTGAAGGGAAGCAGGAAGTGGGGGAAGGTCTGGGTACAGGGTACCATTATGAAGGGGTCAGAAAGGTCTGCTTTCTATATCACCAAGAGTGCCAGGCACTCCAAGGACAAACTGGCCTTATCTTACAGAGCTCACATTTCTTAGAGGACAAATGATGTTTATAAATATGTAGGATATGTCATTACAGAGGATGGGAAAAGCATAGGGTTGGGGGTCAGAGCAAGAGAAAGGAACAAGTCCTGCCATTCTCCTTCTACTTGGCTATTCCATATGGTGAGCAGACTCAGAAGACTAACAGACTCAGAAAACTGCGCAGCTGTGGGCAATGGCACACACCTCAGTCAGTATACTGCAATCCTGCTATGTAATGAAAGTGTACATGGCCTTGAACAGAAAAACTCCTTTGTTCTGCTTGGTTTTAATTTATACTGGCTACTCAAGCCTTATTATTTTGCATAATAAATGTCTTGGTGAAAATTCTGCTTTGCACTTAGCTTTATTTCAGCAGTCAAGTCTGCAGACACCAGGAAATCCACACGTTGTTCTTACAGAAAGTGCTGATTCTGCCAGGAACACAGAGATGGCATGGAAGCATCCAGATGTCCACAGTGCTCATGGGGGAATAGTGCCACAGTGCAAAGTGAGCAAAAGCTAGTGGCTGTGCCTTGAGATGGCAGTGCCCAGTACAGTGCATGGGAAGGGCCTGGGCCTTATGCCCAAACCCAGAGAGAGTGATAGGAAGAGTGCTCTATGGCCTTAGTCCTCTCTGGCAATTGGCAAGGGTGGCAATGTTGTAAGCCGGTGTCCAGAAGTAAACAGGAGCTCACACTATCACATCAAATGTATCATCTACAGGGTGGGTTGAGTGGTGGACAACAGTGCTCTTGGAGGTCATATTTTCTCACCCAAAGTGGCTCTGGCCTGGGAAGCATTTTTTCTACCAGTAGTGGCTCTCCATAAGGGCCTTTCAATCCACCAACTGTCCCAATTAATATCGTGTGAGACTTACCTTGGTCTTTTTTCAATGTAAGTCCAAGGACATCTGTAAAAAGCCCTTGAAAATTGGGGATTTCAACAGCAAGGTACATCACTACCGGGCACATATGACAACTTGCACAAGTCACAAAGATAAGGCCTTTGATTTGTAACCTAGCCTTGCAAGGCATTTCTACTCACTGGGACTTTAAAACTGAAGTCAGGCTCATTTTTAGTCAAAGTGAGCCTTATATTCAGGGCTTGTGCCAGACCTAGTTTCAAGATCAGCTGAATTTTATACAGGCAGTGTGACCTGAATAGTTGGCTTGAGAATAGAGTTTGACCTAATTCTGTCAGGAGTATGTCTCAGGGGGGCAGGCAGGAGAGGTGGCAGTGAGCTATGGGGGCTGCAGCTATCCTGGGGTGGAAGTTAGCTGTTAACCTGTAGCATGCTTGTACAGAGAAACCAAGCTGGGAGAACGGAGCAAGTGTACCTACAGAAGCAGGGGTGAGAAACTAAAGCCCTGGTCCAAGGCAACAGTGACTATGACAGGGCTGGCCAGGACTCCAGACCACCTGAGGACTGGCAGGAGCTTCTTTTATCAACACAACTGCACTGCTTCACTTTAAGACACTACTGACTGTTACAAGAACTATCAACTCATTTCAAGGAAAACACCACTAAACACATGTTAAAGTGTAAAGATCTGTGTCCTAATTGAAATACATTGCATAAATGAGAATGGGAGTTCTCGCCATTTTATTTTCCCCTTCTTAGAATATGATTCGAAGTTTTTCTTGAGAGATTGCATGCTCATGGTGTGTAAACACCAGGCACAGCAGAGGGAATAAAGGCAAACAGATGGCTATTGCAGACGAAGGTGGCATGTTCAGAGGGGTTTCAAAACCTCATCGTGGCCAATTACTGTGAGCCTCATTCTGCACATTAACTACTGATGTGTTTGGGGGTCCAGGGGTTTCAGTTGTGGGGCAACACCTACTTATCTGAGCCCATTGTTTACATTATGCTCAGCTTTAACCTGGTTTTTGGACATAGGTCATACTTCCCTCTAGTGAACTTGTGTGGCCCTTGGAAAGAGTTAGCATGTAGCTAATTACTTGTATGCCAATGCTCATCCTTTAGGATGGGTTTTGCTTGCTGAAGTCATATGTTAGGGAGAGATCTGCCACTGTCCACCCAACAGATTTGTTAAAACTGTGAAATTGGCTAGGTGTGGGTGGCTCACGCCTGTAATTATACCTACTCAGAAGACTGAGATGTGAGGATCATGGTTCAAAGGCAGCTCAGGAAGGAAAAAATCTGACTCATCTTCAAGTAAGCACCAAAAATGTTGGAAGTGGAACTGGGGCTCAAGTGGTCCAGCACCACTTGAACAAAAAAGCTCAGGGATTATGCCCAGACCCTGGGTTCAATCCCCAGAACCAACACACACACACACACACACACACACACACACACACACACACACCCCAAAAATTATTAAAAAAAATAAACATGCAAGCTATAAATACAAGAAAGCAATGGAAAAGAATGAGTTCTCTGACTTAGAAGCATTAGCGGTCCCTGTATCTAATTTCTTGCTTGGACCCTCTGTATGACAACAGCTTCATCTTGCCACAGCTCTCTCATCTTCAGATTTAGGATCATACATCAGACCTATCAGTATGTGACTCTCAGGTACACTTACCAACATGCTCCAATAAGTTCAAGTTTTTTCTCAAAGAGAAATTCATTATTTATGAAGACTAGATATATTAAATAGCATAATAAGCCAGAGGAAGCTTAGCAGGTAGATGCCAATTCAGGACCAGCCTCCTTCAGAGGCTCCCACAGAGAATGCATGTTCAGGACTTGGCAAGAAATGCTAGAAAGGCCTGGCAGTCAAACAATAAGCCGGGAAAAATTGAGTTCAAAGTCAGTTCTATCATACACAGTGAGATAAGAGCTTTGAAGAGTTCCCTAGCAGGATCAATCAAGGGCTGTGTGTTTGATCACATAAAGTACTCTAGACTGAAGGAGACTACTGTTACTCAACTCAGGGTCCCATCAAAGCACACTGAGGGTCTGGGGGTAGGGAAAATGCAGTGGCTCAGCTCCCCAGGGGCCACAAGGAAGAAGCCAGGTAGGGAAAGGGATTCCGGGGCCCCTGAAAGGATGGGAAAAAGGCTTGTGTGAGTCATCTGAGAATGTGTGTGAAGCACCCAGAACACCAACACAGCAACTTCATAGAAACTCCAACAACGTGAAAACATTTGGAAAATGGTTTAATGATGTTTTACAACAGAAATGAACTGTACAGTTACAGTAAGTTTAATATATATAAAAATTACAGCAGACAAATGCATCTACACAAAATCTACCATTTCATTCTGATTCACTGGCACCTGACACAATCTCTCCCAAGCCTATAGCCCCTCAGGGGGCCCCAGGAGGGGGATCATATAAAGGGCACTTTTTCAGAGACAGCACCGCTCATAGTCCCCTCCAACACCCCAGGCCTCAGGAGGCATCAGCTAATTACCAACCTATAGAGTTGCTTGTGTTTCAGGTTTTCAAAACCAAAACCCAAAAACAAAAACACGTGTTTCCCAGGGGCACAAATAACAAGGTCCAGCACTCCAAGTTACCAGTTGATTCTTAGAAAATATTCCCAGCAGAAGGGAAATGGCTAAGCGGGTACTCTGGGGCAGTGAGGCTACACGATAGCCACCCAGATTGCAGTGCACCTAGGAGAAATGTAAAAGGACCCCAAGAAACGACTAGGCATGGCCACTGCCTTAGTAAAGCTGCTGGACCATTTAGGAAAAAATCATTTACACCACATCTTAAGTTTCCATGAAGAACTCAAACTCACATTTTAAAGCACATAAAACCAAAAATTGGGAGGCCATGGGGCTAATTCCCCATGTGTTGCTCCCTAGACAACAGTGGAAAAACACCCCTGAATCAATATTAGAAGAAGAAAAAAAGGAACAAAAGAGAAGACATTTAAAGACAGAGGAAAAAAGCATCTGTAGAAAAACACGATCACTGTCTCTTTAAAACCAAACCAAATCCCAGGTGGGTAATCAGTGACTATTCAATCCAAATTGACACCTGGTAGAGGATTGTTATAGAATAGTATGTACAATCAGAACTTTTTCATTTTTTTTTTATTATGAACACCTAGGCAGTGAAAACTGTTATGTCAATACATACATAGACACACCCAAAACATACAAAAATACTATTATTTCAAACTACTAAGAATAGGACAGCTCAATTATTTTCATGCTATGACTTTAAGAGCATTACACTGAAACAAACGAAGTTAAACGACTTTTTTTTTTAATATCCCAGAAATATACCAAAATATACATCTAAGCTTTGGAATTACTGAGGTTAGACTAATGCAAGTGCTGGGTAATCGTACTTAATACACAAGTCTAAGGTTCTGCAGGAAAGAAATTATCTTTGGTATCTGCATCAGGCTAATATTATTAACATTTGGATTTTGCTTTGGGATAGAGCTTGTATGACCCTAGAACCAAATACCCCCCACCCCCAATCAACTGAGATTAAAAAGATCCATGTAAAAAGTTCCTTCATTTTCAACTCCCCCCACCCCCCAAGTTAAAAAGTCACAGGCATCTACCTAGCACAAAAGGTTGTGAAATACAATGCATAGTTGCACAGTGGTGCTGCAAAAAGCAAATAAAATTACAATAAAGAGAAATGAAAAGCTTGATAATCATTCTGTAGGTTTTCTCACAAACAGGACAGCCACTCCAAGCAGTTCCAGTAAAGGAAAAGAGAGAAAAGGCTCAGAAGGGCTCCTTGGCATGTCTGCCCAGCCCCAGAGTGAAAGCACCCACCAGAGCAGCCAATCGTTGCGCCAGTGTCTTCAGCTTTCCCCATTCTATGGAGTCCATGGCACATCCAGCGGCAGCTCCCAGCTCCTTGTCCCTGTGGTAACCCTGGTTTGCTGTCAGATGGGTTATGGTGGTAATGGGGTTTTGGCTTTCATTTTGGAAAAGCTTAAATGCCAATTTGTTTTGTGCATGCTTTCAAGCTGGCGAGGGCCAAAGCTCCCAAGCATACAGATGCACAAAACTCCATGGACACAGCTGGAGTGCCCTTTCTATCTGGCTGGAGGACCCCAACCTGTTCCTGGCCTCATGCTGCTAAGTGCCAGGACACCACAGACTGGATAGATGCTCAAGACTTCCCTTTTCTTTGGTTTTTTTGTTTGTTTTGAGTTTATACAATCATTAAGAAATCTTTGGTTTTGGCTGGAAATTTTATAAAAAAAAACAAAACAAAACAAAGAAACCACCCTCCCCTGGCTTATAGCAGCAGTATTATGACCTGGCTAAGCATTTTTTTTTCAACTGTGGGGGTGGGAAATGAAGGTAGAAAGCTACATTCAAAGAAAAGGTGAAAGGGCTGGGAATTCAGCTTCTAGAGAGCCCATTGGATATAAGATTGTCAAATAATAACA